AGGGCAGTCAGGGTAAGAGCATCATCCAGGGCAGTCAGGGTAAGAGCTGGATTCAGGACCAATGGAGGAACAGTACTTGTGGCTTGTATTCTAGCTTGCTAACTTTCTTATACAGCCCAGAACCGCCTGCTCACGGGAGGTACTGCCCAAGTGTGTGGGCCGCTACATCAATTAATAATCATCATGATTCCTCACAGACACATCCACAGACAAGCCTGGTACAGTTACTCAGTTGAATCTTTTCTCCAGGTGCCTCTGGGCTGTGCTAAGCTGACAGCTAACACTAATTAACTAAAAAAGACAGGATCTGTAATCAAGCTTTGATATGTAATATCAATATGTAAAATATATATGTAGCATGTAGCATATATCAATATGTGATATATAATATGTGTGTACATGATACATATATATTATTCTGTCTTCTGTTACTATAACAAAATACCCCAGGGGCTAGATACTCACTTAAAAAGAGAGGTTTGGGGGCTGGAGAGATGGCTCAGAGGTTAAGAGCACTGACTGCTCTTCCAGAGGTCCTGAGTTCAATTCCCAGCAATCACATGGTGGCTCACAACCATCTATATTGAGATCTGGCGCCCTCTTCTGGTGTGTAGACATACATACAGGGAGAACGTGTGCACGCGTGTGTTGTGTGCACGTGTGTGCATCTAAAACAAAAGGGCTTGGTTGAGCCCATACTTTGGAAAGTGAGCCTCTGGGGTGTACCCCCATTTTTCGTCATGACTTGCCAGAGAGGGGGTATAACCTCAGGCAGAAGGGCCAACTGAGTGAGGCGGCCTCCCTTTCTAACAACACACTTTCTTGGTGACTGACTTGCTGTATGAGAGACAATATCAGTCTCTTCCATGAATGTCAGTCCAGATGACCTCATTATCTTATGGCGGTCCCCGTTGTGTTAAATGCTCTACCACTTCTTAATACCAACACATGAGGGACCAAGCTTCCCGAAGGCAAACTTCCAAGAGGCACACTCAAAGCACCGCAGTACATTCTGTTAATTTATTAAGTGGTAATAATAGTAAGTAGCTCTCTGCTCTCATCAGAAGAACCTAAGAGAGACTTGAAGCTGTTCTTTATTTCTCTTCTATAAAAAGAGCTCATCTCCAAGTCTCTCTCTCGTCTTATCCCTTTAAATCTCTGCTTTAATGCGTATTTTATAATGTAGAGGACGCATGAGTACAGTGGTCCGTGATGAATTATAAATGCACATATTCTTGTAGCTGCCTCTGTACAGCTTCTTCACTCATTAAGGCTCTGGGTGATACCATTGGACACCATGCCAGAGGCTAAAAGTTAATCTTTCGAACGGTTCCCAAGTAGGGAGGGTGTGTGCACACTGATTTTCTTACTCAAATAATGAATGTTGTTCAGAAATTTTAGAGTGTCTTGATGGAGCTGATGTGTAGGGAAGGTCTTAGTTTCAAATATTGCTGAACAATGTTGCTACAGACTCAAGCGATCTAGGTCTTTGGGTGTTTTTCAAGGTTAGATGGTGTCTTAGGGTTTTACTGCTGTGAACAGACACCATGACCAAGGCAACTCTTATAAGGACAACATTTAACTGGAATTAGCTTACAGGTTCAAAGGTTCAGTCCATTAGCATCAAGGCAGGAGCATGGCAGCGTCCAGGTTGGCATGGCACAGAAGGAGCTGAGAGTTCTACATCTTCATCTGGAGGCTGCTAGGAAAATACTGGCTAAGATGAGGGTCTTAAAGCCCATACCCACAGTGACACACCTACTCCAACAAGGCCACACCTTCTAATAGTGCTACTCCCAGGATCAAGCATATACAAACCATCACAGATGGAAGGGTGCTTGTTCTGAGGGGACAGCGTCCTGTGGCTACTTACACATTTACACCTAGCAATTTTGGTCACTCACACTGCCTTGACACTGTGGCATAGCTGATGTCAAGCAAGAGGGACCTCGTGTCAGAAACTGTTAGGCTGTGTCTTGCTTAGCCTGGGCTCCTTGCCTTCTGCTGTCTTTTCCTTTCTTCAACTTTGTCTAGTGTCAGTTTCAAGTGTTGCAAAGCTGAGTGTGGCTTTGTCTGGTGGAAAGCATTCCCTGGAACCCAGACCATGCAGTTCTGACTGGGGAAGGGTTTGGTTTTTCTGAGCAGTACCACCTAACTCTTCGATTGTAAGCTGTACCTGGTATAAGAACCCGTTCTCTAGGCAAGTGGAGTGAACTGGTCTGTCTGTGCCTGCAGCTGGGCCACGCAGGGATATCCAGATGTGCTCATCTAACTGCCCTCAGGCACACTGTCCCAGTTATTTTGCCCAATCACCAACAGGCCATGCGTGGTTTTCAAATCCCGCCCCGTGAACTAGAATGCCCAGCTCCCCGTGTTTGCCTTCCGTTCTCTTCCGCTTCTTTCTCTTTCTCTTTCTTTTATCAAGAGATAACATATTTTAAGCTGCCTCCTTCACTGGCTTCCTCTGCGGCTTGCTGTGGCTCTTGGGGTGTAATTCTATCACCCCAAGCTATCTTTGTTTGTTTTGTTTGTTTGAGGCTGGGTCTCCTGTCCCAGGTTAGTCTCAAACTTTCTATATAGTCAAAGACGACCTTGAACTTCTGATCCTTCACTCATTTCCCACGTCCTGGGATTACAGGTGTAGCCACTGTGCTGCAGATTGAACTCAGAGCTCCAAGTCCTAGGCAAGCACACTGCTAGCTGTGCCACATTCTCAGCCCTGTTCTACAATAAACAAGTGGGCACACTGCTTCCTACTCACTGTGGTTGGTAGGTAGATTGTTCTCCTAATGATTTGGTTTCTGCTTTCTCCTCTGACGGTAAACACTGGGCAGATGAAAGATCTGAGACCCAGTAAAGAGCAGAGCCCTGCCCAGGGCTGTGTGACTCTCCTGGGTTCTGGGTTCTCCACACGCTCAGTACTGGGATGAGCTTACACTGCACCTCACTGATGTTTCCGCCATTTTTGACATTTCTCAGCTAAGCACTGGTTGAAAAATTCCTGACTGTGTGAATGACGTTTCTATTTCCCAAGACTTAAGCTATGCTTCTTATTTCTTTCTCTGGAAGAAATCGGACATCCAAGATAGCATCTGCTACAAGACCCAGCTCTACCAGATAGAGAAGTGCAGAGCCACCAAGGAACCTTATGAGGTGAGTGGCCCCGAAGCAAATTCAGGGGCTCTTAGTCCATTTTAGGGGAGAATGGAAAGAAAGCCAATTACTGTATGTCTTAGGGTTTTACTGCTGTGGACAGACACAATGACCAAGGCAACTCTTATAAGGACAACATTTAATTGGGGCTGGCTTACAGGTTCAGAGGTTCAGTCCATTATCATCAAGGTGGGAGCATGGCAGTGTCCAGGCAGATGTGGGGCTGGAGGGGCTGAGAGTTTCACATCTTCATCTGAAGGCCACTAGAAGACTGCCTTCCAGGCAGCTAGGAAGAGGATTTTAAAGTCAACACCCACAGTGTCACACTTACTGCAACAAGGCTACACCTAATAGTGGCACTCCCTGGGTGAAGCATATACAAACCATTACACCATAGGACACAGAAATAACAGAGGACCAACAGCCTTACAGCTGAGCCCTGGAGAACTGGTTTATAGTGGAGCCAACATTACCCAGCCTCCAAACCACAGGCCTTCTGTACCACATATCACCAGGAACATTTACACACCTATGTGTTCAGTGTGTATCACAGACCACTGACATGCAGTCTTGGGAGGCAAGACTCCAGTAATTTTTTTCCTAGTCTGTTAATGAGATTTGCTAAAGGCCTTTTATGTTTAAATTTCCATTTTATATATTCATTAAACATAGTATTGCTTTACATAAACACATTTCATACAAGTACATAGACTTTGGGAGTGTTTCCCACACACCCTGCCCTCTTCCTTTCTCCCTGCTCTAGAATAAACCCTTTGTTTCCCTACACATCTTCACTCATGCTTTCATGGCGTATACATATGTGTTTTTGTGTATTCTGTAAAATCTAGGACCCACACACAAGAGAAACATGATATTTGTCTTCTGGGTCTGGCTTAATTCACTTAATATGATTTTCCCCAGCGTTACCCATTTTTATTCTTTATGGCTGAAAATAAAAACCAAACGCAAACTCTTTGTGTAGGTAGGATATAGACCACATCTTCCTTACCCATCCCTCAGCTGTTGGAAGAGTCAGTCTGGCTCCTTGGCTTGGCTTTTGTGACTAGAGCTGCAGTAAGTCTTGATGAGCAGGCATCTCTGGGATGTGCTGACTTGGAGGTCTTCTGAGTGGCTCATTCTGAAATCCATCTAGATGAACCCTTTGAACACTCACAACTGGAACCAAAACACAGGGTACCAAATATGACCGAATGGCCTAGCTGGCATGGGAAGGAAGAGGTAGGCGAAGAGCAAGGAAAGTTCTAGATGGAAGTGAGTTTTCCAGTTAGATATCTATCGCTGGGGTCTTGAGATGACCTGTAGTGTACCTGAGATCAAAACACTAAGGTTCTTGAATTTAGTCAAAACTAGTATCCTATGGCAGCTTGGATTGCTACAAACTTGGATCACACGTTGTGAAGTGGTTTTGTTGAGGATTTTCATACTCAGCATGAGGTGTACAGGGTTCCTGACCACCAGGGTGGGTTCTTTTTACTCAGTTTCATTCCAAGGAGACAAAACTCTTCCCTGTAGAGAGTTTGTTAGCAGCTGGGGCCCTGTCAGTGGAACTTTGTAGCAAACTCAAGAATTCATTCACTGAAGGAGCAATCAAAAAGGGCTCCTCCTACAGACTGAGGCCACTCCTTCCTTTTCTATATCAAATTCTCATCCTGACAGTGTGAGAAGCTCACCTGCTGCTAGGGAGGCCTCCCTCTGGGGTTGGCCTATCTCTGTCTAAGGCCAACACTTTGAGGGCTGAGTGTGAATGTCACAGGAGCTCAGGAATGAGGCAGACCCTAAAGGTGGAGGCTGGGCTTTGTTGGCTGTCCATTTTAGACAGAGCCTGGGGGGCAGGGGAGGGGAAAAAACAGAGGAGGAGGGAGATCCAGGGTGGTGATGGAGAGGTGGTAGTGGTGGGGTGATGACTGAGGAACTGGGAAGATGGTTTGGCAGAAGTCTCAGAACTGTGCAGTTGTCCTGAGGATGCTGGGGTGAGCAGCTTTGAGAAAGCATAGGAGGCAGAAAACCCAGCGCATGGGTTAGGGGAGACAGAATAAGTGGAGATAGTGAATATTACAGAAGTGCTGGGATAGAAGGAGAGAGAACTTAGCCTTCATGGGAGGACACAGGACTGGGCTGAGAGATGCTGAGGGAATGAGTCAGAGAAGGGTTGGGGTAGAGGAAATTAATTAATTGCCTCCTTTGCCTGAGACCAGCTGTGAGGCTCTAGGATAAAAAAGATGGAGAAAGGCCTTTGGGAAGATGGGCCAACTCCAGCAGACCCTGAGCAACAGACCCATGCAAGGCTTTTAGGCTGAGGATAGACTAGAGAGACAGATGCTTCTGAACTCTAGGCCTAGCTAACCAGTTCCTACTCCATGTTGCCCTTGTTAACATGCACCTAAACACTTCCTGCTACGGTCCTCAGTGGAGGCTGTGTCCTCCCTTGGAGCATAGAGTAGAAACACAGTATCCATGCTCAGGGGCATAGAGTAGAAACACAGTATCCATCTTGAAAAGACAGCCCCTCCCCAAGTCTTGAGCTGTGACTGTGAGCCTCTCAAACCCTCTATTCTCTGGTCCCCATCTTCCACCTGCTCCCAGCCTCCTCCCCTCTTTTCTTGGAGGTTCTGCCATGTTCTCCTGGTCCACTCATAGCGACTCATCATTCTCTTCACACAGTAGCCAGAGTGGGCGTGCCACTGTCCTTCTTGAAGCCTTTGGAGGCTCTATGACATGGCCACCTATGTGGGAGTCATTTGCTTTGCCTTGGCCCCATGTCTTGGCCTCATATCCAGCAGAATCCAGTCTTTTTTCTTGCTTTGTGCCCGCTTCCCCAGGCCTAGGAAGTTTGTTTCATCACTGCCTACCAGGGTTGTGCCTACCCTGTTCATTTTTCCTGGATCTTCTCCCCACTTTCTTTGCCCAGTCAGTGCCTCTGTGTCTTCAAATACGGAGGTATAGACAGCACCCCAGGACCCTTGCCATTCTCTGACTCTGCTGCTCGGTTCTCATTCTTTCTAATACAGCCGTTGTACAGTGCTTTGTTGTACAGGGCTGGTCTCAGCACTTTCCCGTTTGTTTGAGGGAGTCACCTGATGAACAAATGACTCTCCCACTTTGGTCCATGAGTTCTGCAAAAACAAAGGCTATGTTAACATCTCAGGAGCCTGTATGGTTCCTGGCATGGTGGAAGTATTCCATAAATATTTGCTAGATGAACAAAGGGAAGAATGAAATGGCTCTTGCCCTGTGTCAGAAATGGAGTGAACTGAGTGAGGCAAGACTGGAAGAGGTTGGTGAGTCCAAGTGCAGCTCTTGGGTTACTGCCTGCGGCATCATCATAAGCAAGAGGCGCTATCACTAGATTGTTGGGGAAGGCCCCTTGCTTCCACTTACAGCGAGACTGGTCACCCTGCTGGAGTCTGGAGCATGCAGAATTTATTTCTAGGTATGCATTCAATTAAAAAAAAAAGTGCATGCTCCCCGAGTGTCTGCCAGGCCTCCCTGTTCATGCCTTTCTTTTTGTCCGCACCGCTTTCGCACCCAGCCTTCTGCGGCTGTGTCTATAAGAACCAGAGCCCTGGTGGGGAAAAAGGCCCGTCTCTCATTCAGACTCGTTTTCTCTGACGGTTATTTCCACTTGGCCAGAGAACACATGGCGAACGTTTGAAACATTTGTTGAAATATTGAACAGTTAGGATTTAAATAGGAGCACTAATGGGCAAACTGCATCTCAGTTTTCTGTGATCCATTTGTTTCTCCGATGTGCAGTATTACTTCTGCTAATTGAATCACAGGCTATTACCAGACACCCCACTCATCTCTGTTGGAACCCAGAGAGTGGAGTGGGGCCCGGTAGAAAATGTTCTAGGAAGGAAGGTCTTAGATGGCCCAGGCTTCTCTGCAGCCACTCGGAGCTCCTGGGTTTCACTCTAGTTACCACTGGCTGGCATGAGAAGCAGGGGACAGGGAGACAATGCTGGGGTGAGGGTGGATGGGGACAGGAGATGGAGGGTGAAATGGCAGTTCATGGTGGGGGGTTGGCTGGAGGGTCACATCCTCCTAGGACATCACAAAGCTGTGTCCTGTGCCCTGAGTGTGCGGGTGGCCTCTTTTATTTCCTCATTTCTGTTCTTCTCTCTATTAGAGGACAAATAAGCCTAATTGAGTTTTCAAAGCTTGCCTTTGGGGATTACAGTGCTATGCTGCTAAGAATTCTTCTTCCTCTTCATGTAAAAAGGCAAAGACCACTTTGGAAAATTGAAACATACAGTCTGGTGTGGTGGTACATGTTTTTAATCTCAGTACTTGGGAGGCAGAGGCGGGGGGATCTCTGTGAATTGGACGCCAGCCTGTCTGCATGTGAGTTCCAGGACAGCCAGGACTATATAGAGGGACTCAAGTGGCTAAGACATATATTTCACTCGGAAACACCAATGTATGGTATCCAAAGGACCCCTGGGCCCAGTGGGATGGAGATGGGAGAATCATCACCTTAAAACTACTTATTTAAAATGGCTTCAAATGGGCTAAATATAATGGAGCATGCTTTTAAACACAGAATTTAGGAGGCAGTGGTCTGTAGACCTCTGTGAGTTCAAGCTATCCAGGGCTACACAGAGAGCACCTATCTTAAAAATAAGTATAGTGCAAAACCATTTGTGCTGAAATTCTTTTTATAATGTTGGTTTATAAAATGTGAAAAAAATTATAAATTATAAAATGGGTGGGGTGGAAGTGGGGGGAGGGGGGTCTCTCCAGACAAGGTTGAGGTCATGGGGAAGCAGGAGACAGGATTCTTCTTACCTGGTTGTTATAACAAATAAAATCCCAGGGTGGACCTCTCAGTTTTAGAGGTCAATGTAACTTAGGGCTGCTTCCTCCTGACGGCTCGGAGGGGAACCTTCTCCAGGGCTTCTCGAGTGTCTGATGGTTGCTGTTGGTCTTCCCTCCTTGGCTTCCTTCTTATGCATTCTTAGATGCATTTCTGTGTCCAAAGTCTTGTAATGACACGAGCCATATTGCAGAAGAGTCCCCCTGATAACCTCGATTTAACTCAATTATTTGTTATAAATGCCTGACTCAAATCAAGGTTATATTCTGTGGTTCTAGAGATAGTGTTAACTTGTGGGAACTATAAGTTTAAAGGTTATTATTAAGATGTTCAGTTTATGACTTATTTAAAAATATCTATGACTTGGGGCTGGAGAGGTGGCTCATCCATAAAACACTTACTGCTCTTGCAGAGGACCCCGATGCTGTTCCCAGCATCCACACGGAGGCACATGACAGCCT